GTCACATTACTATTCTAGTATGAGATTGGGTATTCATGATCATAGCTATCTGTACGTTGTTATTGTTGAGGGTCATGTTGAGATCCCTACTGGACTATATGTTCATCCCACGTTGAATCTTTTTCAGGTGTTGAGCTGAATGTGCTGCAAGATTTGGATATTCTTATTTGTTGGCCACGGGGCCTCCCTTGTATTGGCAGAATGCCATATGCGTAAAAGGGTTGTACCCTTCTTCTTGATTTGTTAATGATGTAAGCCCAAGGGCAATTCATTTATTATACTCATGTTGTATTTATTTGCATACGAATGAGAGCAATGTTATTCACTTCTACGAGTTGAATATACGAGTTTATTTCCGCATGTTATCTCTGAAATGGAATTAAGTAAATGAAATTGGTAATACTTCGAGTAATAAAAAGTGGGGCGTGACAACTTGGTATCAGAGCGAGCCGGGTTTGAATACTTTGGGCTCGTGGGAAGTGATTTTTACCACAGTGGGTTTACTACGTATAGTGAGGACGTTGCATATAGATATCATGAAAGTTAGGACTTGTGTGTTGCATTTATGTGAGCATGGGATTCAGTCTCTCGAATAGTATTCATAGCCGGTAAACTTGCTTTGAGGTCCTTTCGGAAACACGCCTGATCAACGTGGTTTCTGATAGGAATTCCTTGAGAGTTCTGGGATGAGTGGTTATCTTTGTGGACTTGATTCGATTATGTGTTTACATGTTTAGATGATTATATGCAATGGAGATGTATATTTTGTGACTAGTGAGTCTTGTGACTTAATAGTAGTGGTGTGTGCCTCGGAGAAGGCTATTGTGTTGTGCACTAAGCGTGGTGTTTGCTTTTGTGCTTTATAGGATGTCTACACAAGGAAGTAGAGGACGGTTGAGGAGTAGGAGTATCGGTAGGGGCACAGCAGTCCCTTTAGCACCCGCCGTTGCAGCATCGGCTGTCGCGAGGATATCGCACGTGAGATTGTGAGAGCAGTGCAAGACGGCCTAGCTCGCACTGAGGGCGGCAGCGGGCATGCTCTCAAGCTTACTAAAGAGTTTTTTCGCTCCGGCCCACCAGAGTTTGTGGGGCAGGCTAAACCGTTGGAGGCAAAGAGTTGGTTGGAGCAGATTACCAAGACTCTTGATATGCTCAGAGTCGAAGAGGAGGAGTTGAGGGTTTCTTTGGTGACTTTTCAATTGAAGGGCGATGCGAGTTATTGGTGGAAGTATGCTAAGAATACCGTAGGTAGCACGTGGGTTGCTTTTACCGAGGCCTTTTGGGCCAAGTATTTCCCTCCTTCTGCTCGGGAAAGGTTGAGGGATCAGTTTTTGGAGTTGCGTCAGGATGATACTCCCGTGGCACAGTTTGAGATGCGGTTTACTAGTTTGTCGAGGTTTGCTCCAGAGTTGGTGGCAACAGAGGAGCGTCGTTGTTATGAGTTTGAAAGATAGTTGTGTTTTGATATTCGGGAGAAGGTAGCTGGATCCTTTTGGAAGGATTATTATAATTTAGTCGAGGCAGCGGTCCATGTGGAGGCCATGGTTGTGAGTAATGGTCGAGATAGGGAAGAGACCATCTTGGTAAGTCCTTCGGTTCCTAAGCGCTCTAGGCTCAGTAAGGGGTGGAGGCGGAAACATGCGTAGTCAGGGGCAAATTTCTTTCCTTCGCCTGGGGTTTCGGACTCTACTGTTGGGGGGTCTGGGGAGGTGCAGGTTTCAGACCAATCGCAGAATAGAGGGTCTGGTGGTTGTTTTGTTTGTGGTCAGCTGGGCCATGGTAGACGTTTTTGTCCCTTGCGTGTAAATTCTTTTGGTGTTTCAAAACCCAGTCAGACTCAGTTGTACCCGTCCAGTCAAGGACGCTATCGGTACCAGAAACGGACAGGCCAGGCTTCGGGAGCCTCGCGAGGGGCGACTTATTAGTTAGTCCTATGGTATTACCCTGGAGGGGGATTTTTGTGTTATTGGCCGATGGTGTATTATATGAATCATTTTGTTGTTGACCTGTGTACTATTGGATGCTGAGGCACCATGTTTATGTATCGCTTATATATGCATATTGTTGTTTGTTTAACCCTCATGCATTGGGGAGTATGTATGAAATCTCGAATCCTCTTTTTCCTATTGAGGAGTTGTTAAAGGGATCAATGATCCTGATGTTGTTGCTTGCTTGGTACCTGTATGTTGATTTGTGTTCTGGGCTTTACTAGTTAAGGAGTCTGTGGTGACCCCATCGGTTGTATAGGGGTAGTGTTCGTATTGTGATTGGCTATCAGTTGTTGGGTATGGTCTATGAGTGGCTTCTGCCAGCATCCTTAAGAGGAGGAGTAGGTTGTGTTCTAGGGTGACGAGATTAGCGTCGGTCAAATTGTCCTTCGTGATTGGGTTGTTGTAATTGAGGTTTACCATGTCGGTCTTCGGTCGAGGAGATGAGCAGGCTTGCTATGTAGCCATGAGAGAGGGGAGATAGTAATTCCCTTAGACACAGTGTTGATGTGGTTTGATTTTAGGAGATCCGTTGAGATTCCAAAATTTGGGGGTTTGTGTGGGGAACTCCGTGTTTGGGGTTAGTGGCACTTCAGTGTGTGGTTTACTGAGAGTGGTGGTTTATTGAGTTGATTAGTCAGCTTTTGGTATTGGGTTTTGGGTTGACATCTGTCACCTTGAGGGTAGTCTCAGTCGTTGTAGACTTGTATGTTGATTAGGGAAAACTGAAACTAATCGAACATGTTATGTCAATGCATCTGACTGTTGGAATAATACATCAAGTTTTGTATTGATTGATTGAACTTATATATGTTAATTGCTTATATACATTGTATTGTGTGGGAGGAGATGAGGGATGTACTCCACGGTTTATTGGAAGATGGGGGATGGACCTCTAAACCGGATTTGTTTGATTTGATATAGCACTAAAATGTATATCATTATCAATTGTGAAGTATAAAAGTGTTTCTATGTTATATTGATACAGCACCAAAATGTGTATCATTTGTGTATTAAGGAGGTATTGTTGATGTGAGATATGATCTCTTTTAATTGTTGGCCAGGTTCTGAGCCATGTTTATGATTTTAAATTGATTAAGTGAAAGAAGGTGGAACGAAATTGCAAATCATGAATTTCTTATGCCTTGCGTGTTGATAGCACTAGTGTTATTTCTATTAACTATCATTATAGAAAGGTTGTGTTCCGTGTTGGTTGTGGCATCACTGTGTGAGTGATGGGTGTTGATGGTATTATTTTGGAAAGAAATGGAAAACAAAATTTTTCTGGTGGTTAGGCCACCTAAAGGCGTTATTGAGAAATTGATTTAATTCAAGGGTTTTGAGGAATTCCAAATGAATCTTTTTGGCAAATAAACTGTGGACGGTTATGTGTTTTTGGATAACACCGTATTTGTGAAAAATGTTTACAAAACTTTTGAGTTTTGCGTTGAAAATGCAAGGTTTATTTTGAAATGTCTCATGAGCAAGAAAATGTTTTCCTTATTTTAATGTAAAAGATTTGCCTTGAGTATCCTTTTATTGGAAATGATGGTTGTTGAGTAGTGACTTAACATGAAACGCTGGTCAGATGTTAGTAAGCTGTTTCGGAAGGGTTGGTTTTGTTGTAGCTTTTGTGCCTACAGTGTTGTCGTTTGGAACGTGTTCCCTTGGTTAGTCTCTTCCTTGGTAAGAGTGAATCGAAGGGTTGTAGGGAGAATAGTTCCTCTCCTAGTACTCGGGTGTTGGTGTTGTGCGATCAGTTGGCCTTGTGTTTTGGCATATCCTTAATTTCGGGGACGAAATTCTTTAAAGAGCAGAGCCAGACCAGCGCCGGAGTTGAGTCAAACTCAGGCCAAAGCAGACAAAAGCTCGCGGATCTACACTACATCACCACTCACGCCTTTGCAAGTCCAGAGATGTAACCCATCCTCTTATCTAATAATGAGAATTCAAAACCCCTCTAAAACAGTCACTGCATCTTACTCGAGAGATGATTCCACAAAGTATTTTGATTTTGCTAGATCGGTAATGGAGTTGCTGGACTTCATTATGCTTTTGAAGTTGCAAAACATGGAACTATTGCAGTGATTGCCAAGGCTATGCATCAAAATCACTGAAGCTATCAAATTACAGACAACCCAAGTGAATTTCTATAGTTGGAAGATGATTTTCTTTGGGTTTGAGTAAATTTCTCTGGGGTGGATAGGGGCATTTCTCTGATTTTGAAGAATTTCTTTGAGTTGAATCTAGAGAAAATAATCAAATTTTGTTTATTGGTTGCACTTAGTGTAATAATTTTGTGGATGATCTGTCTGGTATGCACATTTCTCTTTGCATCAGTACTAGTGGTGGTGGTGGTGTTTTTGAGTTAAAAATCATAGCTGTTAGTTCTTTACATAATCTAGAAATTTCTTTGGAGAGAAACAGAAAATTTCATTGGGTTGGAGAGAATTTCTCTGGTTCAAAATTTATCTGGGAAATCCAGAGAAATTATTTAGATGAAATTTCTCTAAATCAAATTGAGAGACCTTAGACATGAAAATAGTAGATGTCATTTATATTCTAAAATCTTAATACCAAGGCCGTAAAAATAAAAACCCCTAACATTTATTATTTTAAAATAAAACATCTATAAAAATAATGTTTAATTATCAAAATACCACCACCACCATATCATTTTGATAAAATTTTTGTAAGAATATCATTTGTTTAATATTATCATTTTTTTTTTAAGTTCAATTTTATTCACTTGCCAATCTGTACAATAATTCTACGAGGGTCACTGCATTATGAACAAAATTGTTATAACTAGTATTCATTTTCTAATTATGTAAAACAAAATTTCTAGTACATTCCATTTTTTTTTTCTTCTCATTTAACATATGAAACAATCATTTATTGAAAATTTTTTCAAACCAATGGAGAAGGAATTACTAAGAAAAATTGCTGCACTTGCCAAACATTCTCGGTGGTGCATCAACGAGATTCCCATTCACAAATCAGATATGACTCTTATGCCACAAACTTAAAAAAAGCTATCATAAAACCATATATGTACGATTTTAGAAGCAAATAGATCACAAGATGGAAAGCTGATCTAACACTCCTTAGTAATTCAAGATTGGGGCATTCATATTCTCTGCAAGTTAACTTATTACACACCACAAACTTCAATATAAAGAGAGCAACTTAGCTGATGCATACAAAATACAATATTGGCTGATCATTCACTTCAGAAACCCATAGGTCCGATTTAGATCATCAACTGAAACCGCTGCACATAAAGCATTGATCCTACACTGACACAGACAATTGTATTATGGACTCGATATTCCATTTTGTCATGACGAGGCTGGATTCTGTTCTGAGGTCTTTGCCAACTTTGCTTCTATAAGCCTGTCCAAGATTGGGATTTCCAAGGGAACTGGATCAAGACAACGTTCTGCAGCAGCAACAATCACCTGCTCAACAAAAGAGCCAATGCTTGTAATTCCTTGTTACAAAATCAAAATGCGAATATGAAGTTCCAAACTTTTGTACTTAAAATGAATACGAACAAAACGGACAAAGTAAACAGTTTGTCAATTCCAAGACCTTTCCTATAAATTTATTGCTTATGAAGCTGCTTATAGCTGCTTCTTATCTTTTTTAATTTGAAAATTTGTGCCAAAAAGTGTTTGGTGCAACTATGATGCAGCTTACGAGGCAAAACTAGCTAAAAGAAAAAAAAACTGATTATTGAGGAGCAGAGGGAGAGTGCTTGTAGCTTATATTTTCTGATTATCAGCTTTCAATTTGTTAGCTGCTGCCTTAAAGCAGATTTCGTAAACAACCAAAATGAACTCTGGGATAAGAATTGTTTTGGAGATGAATGTCAATAAACTTTGCAACCAACCTAAATCCATAGTCCTTTTGTTGGATCCACAGCACTCCCTCTTGCATTGGTGGGCCTCACCATACGAGAGAGGGGGCTGTAGATCTAGCAAAAAAGGGTGTGAATAAATTTCTAGACTTAATCTTCATTACCTCATCAAGCAGGAAATCAATTGCAGCTTCATCTTCAACGGTGTCCTTCAAAGTAGTTCTCAAGAACTGAATGTCCAACTGAATTTGCTGGAATCCACTCCGGTTAAAGGTCTGGAGGCGGACAAACTCTTGCAAACTCTTCAGACAAAGTTTTACAATAGTTGTTACCACCGATTCCTGCAATTCAAAAGTATTCTCATTGATTTTGTTCCAATAACAGTACCAGTAACTTTTTTTTTTTCTACCAGTGCTAGTACCAAACCTGTGTATGCTCAACTTTTGTAAAAATTTCCATTTTTTGCTTGAACAATTTTGCTAGATGGGTTTCCAGAAGCTGGCTCCTCGCCCTTTGGGTATTTGACCGGATGATTTTATCATCTCGTAATGGATTACTGCGTGAAGAAGTGGTGCTCCCATTGCTGTCTGTTCGACGATGTTTACGATGAACCCCTTGAGGCAAAATCTGCTTCACTTCAATTCCTATTGCTTCAAACTAGCACATGACGTATTCAAAGTGAATGTCTTGATTTCTTTTTCATATACACATGTTCATGCATCAAATGTTCGCGACATAATTATGCAAGTTGAAAGAGACAAAATGATTTGGTCATGTGCAAGGAAGACCAATAGATGCAACGAATATATATTTTTCAACTAAGTTGGTTGGTTTGGTCATGAGATATTCAAAATGATGATCTCTCCAACCCTGCTACTAATTAACTAGATTAGAACCTTACACAGATCAAATTAACAGAACTGTACCTCTTGAAGAAATAAATCAACAAACATATGAACTTCTCTCGGTTCCTTGTGCTGGGGGAAAAAGCACAAAAATATTAGTTGAACTATAGGAGAATTGCTAAACTAGGTAATGCCCTTCAAGGTTATAAAAAATACTGGCTTAAGCTGTACCGACCTTGACCCAATTTGGTGTTGTAAACCTCTTCCTCAAAAGAACTGATATTTTGTGACTTCTCATATTGATATACTGCAAAACAAAGCAAGATTGAAATCAGGTTTCAAACAAATTTTAGACAGTATCTATTTCAAAGAGGCTCAATTTGGTTAGAGAGACAATACAGGAAAGTGAAAGAAAAAAAAACAAAGTAATTTTTTATGTGTTTGTTTCGACAGAGAGTCATAGAAAGTAATGGAAAGAAACTAAGGTTGCGTTTGGTAGAGCTTTAGAATTATAATTTGAGAATGGAGTTGTATTTTGAGTTTGTGAGTTTTAGAATTATGATTCGGGTGTGGAAAATTTGTTTGGTTATGAGTTTTAAAAAGAGTTTGAATTGAGTAATGTGGCATATAATATTGAAAAGTGAGTGTGGAATTAATTTTCTAAAGCTGTAACCAAACAATACACTCAAACTACGAGGTAGAATTAAACTTCAAAAACTCTACCAAACAAAGCCTAAAGTTTTATGTACAACTCAAATTAACTTGTTGGTTATTCACCCAAAAAAAAAAATAAAATTAACTTGTTGGTTAGGCTAACAATTTCTTGCAAATATACAGGGAAATTTATTTTTCCCACAAATCTTGACAAGATTTATTTTGTTTTCATTTTTGCCCATGTTTCTCTCCACAACTCCCTGTTATGCAGTGATTATATTTTTTCCCATCATTTTCCTACAAAATTTTTCTTCTATTCAAATGCATGCAAGAAAATAAATTTTTATTTCTTTTTCCTTTCTTTCACTTCGCTTTCTACTATTTTCATTTTCTATCATACGCTTCTTTCTAAACAAACGAAACCTAAGTGAAACATAAGTATGTAAGGAAGAATTTATTAAAAAATTAATAAATCCCCCAAACTTAAAACTCTAATTAGGATATAAGTTAAACATTTCAAGACCAAATAAGGAGCATTGTTTGTTACCATTGTCAAAAGTTTTCGATTTTCTCCTTTGGTCTACGGTTCAAGTTGTGCTCTCTTACTTATTCTATGGAAATTTTTTGCAGATCATTTGATTCTATTTAGTTTGGATCCAAATAATTTAATAAAAAAACCTTTTGCACATAGAAAAGTTTGTAGACTTCACAACCCTATTAGCTTAATGTGAGAAGGATCTTTAATTCTACAAATGAGATCCACGGATCATTTCAAATTCCTCTATTTTTTTCCCAACCAATAGTGCTCAAGGCTAACTATGTGTTATTTTTCTTCTACAAGTAAGCTTAAGCCTAATACGGATTGGTGCTCAAAAAGAAACCTAGGCCAAGTGGGATATGGTGGAATTCTGAGAGATCAGACTTGAATATGGCTTTGGAGATACTATGGGAAGTTGGGAAATTGCTTGAACCTAGAAACTGAGATTTAGGCCATGTACAGAGAGTTCACCATCACGCTACAAAAAGGCGTCATTGGGATGGAGATCGAGTTGGACTTTGAAATGGCAGTGTGCCTAATTCAAGATCAAGCAAACCCCAATTTTCCTTAGAAAGAGTTGATAGGGGTAGAATAATCTGAATGTGTAGTTGTTTTGGAAGACCCATAGAATTTCATCAAAGATTTACTCCTTGTTAACATGACCATTAGCCATCCATTTTAATGAAACGTCCAAAGGCAATTGTAGGTCCCCCATATTTTTATTACGAAAATGTAGCACTCACCCCCAAAGGGGTTTGAATACAATTTCCTGATTCTTATATGATATTGAGCCATAATTTGTAGACTCCAAGATTCTTCCATGCTGATGCCAGAAAAAAGAGGATATATTCATAACTTGCCAACCGACAACCGGTTCCAACTTCTTCCAATCCCACCACTAACCATACAAGAAGCTTTTCCTTAACGAAAAAATGGTGGCCTAAATGGGACAAAAGGTCAAAGTTGAATTACCTTCTAACTTGTGTTGGAAGTGCAAAACTCACTGAGAGGATACGAAAAGGTACTTGAAAAGTCAAATGGAGAACCTCCCCTAGACGTCCAAAAATACGTGCTCGAGCAGTGCAAGAAATGGAACTTGGTTTGGGTTGGGAAAAACAAGGTTGAACTAGTTGAACTTAATAAGATAGAGATAGTGATGGGGGTTTCCAAGAAACCACATGAGGGGAGTCAGTAGAAACGAAATATACAAAATGCTTGGCAACGCTTTTTAGGTTTGACTCAATAGCATCATGATCATATAGTCTATATTAGTTTTTCCTTAGGCTGTGTTTAATTTAAATATTTGAGGCAAGATTTGGGAAATGATAGAAAAAAATGAAGGAAATAGAAATTAAAAATAAAATTTTTGTCGTGTTTCTCTTTCCTATTTCTTTTCCTTCCATTGATATATGTAAAGAAAAGTGAATGAAATAGAAACTAGGAACATTTTTTTTCACATGTAAATGAAATAGAAACTAGAAACTATATTTTTTGCATGTTTATCTTTCCCTTTCCCTCCATTGATAGTGGTAAAGAAAAGTGAATAAAATAGAAACTTGAAAGTATATTTTTGTCACATGTGAATGAATTAGAAACTAGAAACTAATTTTTTGTCATGTTTCCTTTCATTTTCCTTTCCCTCCTCAAATGAATTTGTTGCAGGTTGATACAATGGGATACCATCTTTCAGTCTTGAAGACTTTGTTCCCTGGTGGCATTAACCTCCTTTCGCTTTTCTCTGGAATTGGTGAAGCTAGCATCGCATTGCACAGACTTGGGATTCCTTTAAAGAACATAGTTTCTGTTGAGAAATTAGAGATATGTCAAACCATTCTCCATTGGTGGTGGGAAGAAACAAACCAGAAAGGCAATCTAATTCACATTGAATACGTGCAAGACGTGAATGCTCATATGATCGCCCGATGGATTGAGTCGTATAGTGGGATTGATCTCATGATTGGTGGGAGCCATTGTAATAATCTTATTGGGGGCAATCGTGTCAGCAGAGACAGGGCGTGAGGAAAAGCAATCTTCTTTGTTCTTTGACTATTTCCACATTTTAGACCTTGTCAAGTCTATGATGAATCAACATTGATCGTATATGAAGATGCTTCTGCATTCGTTCAACAATTTATTCCCTTTTGTTTGTTATTTTGTTTAGTAATGATAGTTTAGTTTACATACATTGAATTTTAAAATTGTTGTTTATGCATTTTTTTTGTAGTGTTTTGGCAATCATTTTGCATGTCTATTTTTTTATGAAGTTTTCAACTATTTATAAATTTCCGTACAATTTTATTTTATTTTTCAATATAAAGTCATTGATTGTTTTCAATACTATGAGGAAGCCCATAACTAAGATTTCTTGGGAATTTGATTTTTAAGTTCTTAACATTTTACAAGCGTGATACAAAATATTTCTATATAGTAATAAAAAGTTGTACATTGACAGGACAATCATGCTACGTGCACAAAAGGTTTGAAACACGTAATGCACAGATGTGACACATAGAATGCACAAATCTGTGTCACATATGTACATTACGTATTTCAAACCTTCTGTGCACCTAGACTTTTTCTTGAGAAGACAATTAAATTATGTGTTCGTCTAATAACATTATGCAGTCATTTTAATTTTATTTTTTTGAAAATTCGTCACATGCTTCTTATTATTGGGTGAGCTGACCCGACTCATTCCAACTCCAAACAATTTTATAAGAAACACAGAAACGAAAAACAAAAATAAACACCTAAAACAATTTTCTTTTTGTCAATGAGCTCACAATTTGTAAAATTCTATCTATCCATATATATTATGTGTCCTGTTTTGTAACTAACTTCCACATCCATATATATTATGTGTCCCGTTTAGTAAGAGTTCGGAACAAACCTAGAAAAGAGGCCTCGGAAAGATTTGATTAGAATGGAAGCGATTAGGTCTTGATCAAGAAGCTTTTCCTTAACGAAAAAATGGTGGCCTAAATGGGACAAAAGGTCAAAGTTGAATTACCTTCTAACTTGTGTTGGAAGTGCAAAACTCACTGAGAGGATACGAAAAGGTACTTGAAAAGTCAAATGGAGAACCTCCCCTAGACGTCCAAAAATACGTGCTCGAGCAGTGCAAGAAATGGAACTTGGTTTGGGTTGGGAAGAACAAGGTTGCACTAGTTGAACTTAATAAGATAGAGATAGTGATGGGGGTTTCCAAGAAACCACATGAGGGCAGTCAGTCGAAACAAAATATACAAAATGCTTGGTAACACTTTTTAGGTTTGACTCCATAGCATCATGATCATATAGTCTATATTAGTTTTTCCTTAGGCTGTGTTTAATTTAAATATTTGAGGCAAGATTTGGGAAATGATAGAAAAAAAAATGAAGGAAATAGAAATTAAAAATAAAATTTTTGTCGTGTTTCTCTTTCCTATTTCTTTTCCTTCCATGGATATATGTAAAGAAAAGTGAATGAAATAGAAACTAGGAACATTTTTTTTCACATGTAAATGAAATAGAAACTAGAAACTATATTTTTTGCATGTTTATCTTTCCCTTTCCCTCCATTGATAGTGGTAAAGAAAAGTGAATAAAATAGAAACTTGAAAGTATATTTTTGTCACATGTGAATGAATTAGAAACAAGAAACTAATTTTTTGTCCCGTTTCCTTTCATTTTCCTTTCCCTCCTCAAATGAATTTGTTGCAGGTTGAAACAATAGGATACCATCTTTCAGTCTTGAAGACTTTGTTCCCTGGTGGCATTAACCTCCTTTCGCTTTTCTCTGGAATTGGTGAAGCTAGCATCGCATTGCACAGACTTGGGATTCCTTTAAAGAACATAGTTTCTGTTGAGAAATTAGAGATATGTCAAACCATTCTCCATTGGTGGTGGGAAGAAACAAACCAGAAAGGCAATCTAATTCACATTGAATACGTGCAAGACGTGAATGCTCATATGATCGCCCGATGGATTGAGTCGTATAGTGGGATTGATCTCATGATTGGTGGGAGCCATTGTAATAATCTTATTGGGGGCAATCGTGTCAGCAGAGACAGGCATGAGGAAAAGCAGTCTTCTTTGTTCTTTGACTATTTCCACATTTTAAACCTTGTCAAGTCTATGATGAATCAGCATTGATCGTATATGATGATGC